AAGTCTCTATACGAAGGTAACCTGACTTTGGTCTCACTTGCACCTGCGGTATGTAATTCAGCGGTAGATTTCTGGATAGCTACAGGTCGGTGTACAGTTTTCTAAACCGCTGTTGTGATTACATTGAGTCACGGGTGGCATCGCTTCTGCGCGGACAGCGAGTGGTTAGGGTTCTCTAAGTGTTGTCTGCAGTCATAGTTCTGAAGGGAGTTGCATTCCCAATTGGGGACTTGGATTTAGCATTTCCTCTGTGGCAGGACGTTTGGTGTCAGAGTTAGTGAGGACAGATATAACATGGGCACTGCTCATAGAGATGTATCCCAGAGTTCAGTATTTGGGCTGTTGTTGTCTCTTTTGTTTACGAATGATTCAGCTCCACGCCTCGACATCCCTTGATATGTTTTTCGGACGATATAATGCTTGTCAGTAGGGGAAATAGGAATAGGTTGTCTAAAGAGCTGGGCACTGTAGATAAGTGGTCTGAATCATGAGGCTTGCCATAGAACTCAAATAAACTTCAGCTGCTATCATCATCGGCGGGTGGCCGAGTGGTCTGCACGTCTGGTTTGCAACCATAAGGTTCGAAATTCGAATCCGCCGTGTAGGGGACGGTGTTCTCTCGACGTGACTGGTGGTGGTCGCGCAGCAGCGAGGCGAAATTATGGCGTAGCGAGCCAGACGGACTGGTCTTTACCACAGGATTCATCTATTGAAACCTGTTGGACTATCATTAAAGAGGGAGTGAAATCATTGTGCGCCCGATTTGTACCCATCAAATTTCGAAAAGTTGGGGCAGTCAAACCACATTGGTTCGACAAAGAGTACAACAAACTGGCCCGACGACGACGCAGACTATGGAACAAGTTCGTGTTATCTGGCTCTGATGAGGACCACAATGCGCATAAGGTACAGCGAAATCGCTGCAACGAGGCGAAAACAAGAAAACGCAGAAGCTTCGAAGAGGAGCTTGCAACCGCCGCGAAAACTGCTCCCAAGAGGATCTTCGCATACGTGAAGCGGCGCCTGAGGCCTATAGCCAATGTCCCAGTGTTAGAAGACTCCAATGGGCAGCCCCTAACCTCGAGTACAGATCGTGCTTCCGCATTGGCGACGCACTTCGCCTCAGTATTTGCAAGTGGCCAGGTGTCTGTAACGAGTTCGACGAGCACCGCTCCAGTCGAACTTAACAGCATGGACTGCAATATTGAGGATGTGCGCAAGCTTCTAGCAAATCTTGACGGGACCAAGCCTACTGGGCCAGATGGTATACACCCACTGATCCTCAAGTCCCTATCGGCCATCATCGCGCTTTCTGTAACTGAACTGTTTAACAGGTCACTTTTCACTGGACTGTTATCAGGCGACTGGAAATGCTCAGTCGTAAAGCCCATACCGAAAGGTGGTAACCCAAGTAAAGTGGATAACTATCGGCCGATCTGTCTGACTGCTGTTTTGGCAAAGACGCTCGAGAAGATCGTGAAGAAGAACCTTCTGCAGCTTCTCGAGTCGAAAAACCTGTTGACCTCCTCACAGCATGGTTTCATGAAAGGTCGCTCGTGCATCACCAACCCACTGTTGACAAGGCACGACTGGTTACAAGCGATGAACCAAGGCCATTCAGTCGATGTCATTTACATTGACTTCAGTAAGGCTTTTGACAAGGTTAACAATGCAGTGCTCCTTGACAGGCTAAGAATGTACGGTGTTGGTGGTTCGCTGCACAAATGGATCAGCAATTTCCTAGTTAATCGAAAGTGGAGAGTCCAGGTGGACGACCATCTAATTAACTGGTATCCATCGAGCAGCGGCATGCCCCAAGGCACTGTACTGGGACCGATATTGTTTCTGATCCATGTAAACGATGTGCCTAAGCTACTCCAATCACCATGTGCGTTGTTCGCAGATGACTTGAAGGTGTGGAGAGTAATCCGTACACTCAATGATTGTGATTTACTTCAGCAGGATCTCGACAGCCTCTCAACATGGTCTACAGAGGTTAACCTTCAGATCAACCCTGCTAAGTCGCAATTCATGAGGTTGGGTAAATGCGAGCACAGCCGAACGTACACAGTGGCTGATCAACCGCTGCATCCAGCGTCTTTCGTGCGCGACCTCGGTGTGCTCTCACGCTGCGACCTAAAGTCCATTGACAACACGAATATGCTGTACCAAAACAGCTTTGAGGATGCTTTGGGCGCTGAGGCGCAGCTTCAGCACTTGGTCCGAAGAGATTGCCACTCGCCTCTTCGTCTCGATAATACGACCAATGCTAGAGTACGGCTCTCCCGCGTATTGTCCCATCACGCTGGGCGAGGTAGAAAAGCTTGAGCAGGTGCAGCATGTAGCCACTAGGCTGATTCCCAACTTACGAGGTATGCCATATGAAGACCGATGTAAGAAACTAGGGCTGTACACCCTAGCATATCGTCGGCTGAGAGTTGACCTAATCATGACGCACCGGATACTACATCTGAGTGATTACCCCATGTTGAGACAACTGCTTCATCTGCGCACACCGAGCGGCACGCGAGGACACCGGTACAAACTTATCGCACCGCAGTTGAAGCGGGTAGCTCACCAACTCTGTTTCGAACGAAGAGTGGTGAATACCTGGAACAACCTGCCGAAGCCGGTAATAGAGGCGAATTCAGTGGCCGTATTTAAGAAGCTTCCAGATAAACATTTCGCAGAGGCAAAATATAAAGAGCGGAACGATAACTAATAGGTGGATGTCCAAGAGCGACAATTGATGCAGCTACACAGAGTATACTCTCCTCGCTGCTTCCAATCAGTATCAGGTAACACTGGGATTACGGTGCAAACATCTACTAGGTCCCTGATATTGCAGCGGGTAGACAAGGAGAAGGACTTGGGCATCTTTATGGTAGTTAGATTCAGGCCTTCAGCAAGGTGCCAACATGCTGCTAACAGAGTGCAGCAGATCATTTTTCGTTTCAGGAGAGTGTTGTGTAACTATAAACCTGAATCCTTGCTCCCTTTATACAAAGCAGTGGTTCGGCCGCACTTAGAGTACGGGGTTCGGACTTGGGCGCCTTATTTTCGAAATAATGTCGGTTGCCTAGCGAAGGTCCACAGACCGAACACAAGTATGAGTGAAGCCAAGCAATGAAAGACGTAGATTGACAGCCTGAATGCTTTCGGCTTTTTTGCACTGGCATAATGCAGATAAGGTGAGGCCAGATTGAAGCGTTAAAGATTATGCGGGGTCTCAGTGGTCTTACGCATACCGTTCAATTCAAACTAGGTACACCAGACTACCTGCGTGAACACTAGCTGAAACTCATGAAGTAGAGACACATGGTACCGTTTGTATGGAAGCAGTGTTCGCAGGCATACATCTTCAAGTGCTTCTTATTGTCGTGAACATTAGCAGCGACGCAACGCTAATAAAGTATCTAATGTAGTTTCTTTATCCTGTGTCTTTTCATTTATCTGCGTGGATACAGGTTAGTTGCCGAGCGGAAGTTATTGAACCGCTTCTTGTGTATTTATATGCACGAGGTGCGAAATTATTATTGATAGTGAATTCAATGTAATATCTTCTCCAACAGTTTGTGGACATCTATTTTTAGCGATCAACAGGATGAGTTTATAAGACGCCTAAAGTTGGTTTAATATTCTTCTGTCTTGGCAGAAACCACGGTCTTTAAAGTGTGTGTTGCTCTGAGAGTATACCCAGCTATCTGAAAAAATCCTCAGACACTCGATCTTCATCCTTGTGAACGATTTGCAAATAATTTTTCAGTTTCAAACCTGGATTTGGCGTACCTGCTGTGTGGTTGGACTGCGACACGTAGTCTCAATTCAGATCTCGGTTCACTATGTGAAAGGCGCCTTCCGGGCATGATTTTGAGAATACCGTCAATACGTAACTTGATTGAAACAAACTTCTTGACGAAAGCCAATGAAGTAAAAAATTAGGAAATGACTGCTTACTGCACACAAACTCACTACACAAACGCTGAAGCAAACAGTGACCGTACGTGCCTATCAAAGTGGCAAACTTACCACTTCCGAGTCGTAGGCGAACAGTCATCTGTCGTGCGCTGATGCCTGTTGGTTCACCCACCAGCTGGCCATGAAGGCGATCGGATATTGCAAATCCGACCCCATCTTCACGTGGTGCTGAGACGGCGTTGCTAACCCAGTAGAACGTGTAGCCAGCAGCCGCTTCATGCAACTTACCTTGCTCAGCGAGCCGCGTTTCACTGAGCGCCGCAATATCGATGTTGTAGCGCGCCAATTCCATCGCGACCAGTGCAATGCGTCGCGTGGTGCGCTCACTCGCGTTCCGGTCCAGTAGTGTTTGCTCGTTTCAGCACCCGATGCTGAATGCTTTGAGCGCAGGCATAAGATTGCATTGGTGGACAATCGCACCCGAGGTGGCGGTTGTGCTTCGGAGGTTTGCATGAGGGATGCCGCCTGGAGCTTTTAACTCTCTCTCTCTCTCTCGCTCGCTATATACATACATACATACATATATATATATCTATGGTTGAACCCACAAATGCGCGGATTAAATTGCTTCCAAAGCTTTCACAGAACTAGTGTAGTTCAACTTGACTATCCTAAACGATTTGAAAACCTTTTATCTCTAACTCATGTCACGCAGCGGCTCTATAGTTGAAACCCTTCCCTTGAACAACACATTAGCAACCACAAGATAAATGAGTTGAGTGATGAGCGCAAAGTAAAATTATGTACAAAGATATAAATGCACCAAAAGTTGTGGTGAGAGAGACATACAAAGTGACGGTGGGTTCCACAGCGGAGGATTGCATGCATATCCAAGGGGGGCAATTACTCTCCGTCTGCATATGTGCATCTGAAAAGAGCGAATCGCACGTAGATGTCGCATAGCCGCCTGGGTCCATTCAGATTGGGAAAACAAAATACTGTAGAAAAGCATTCAAGTAACACCTCATGAATTGCAAACCATCGTTCTATGATAAGGTGACTTGTCGCTGATCTTGGGTCAACTACCTTTGTGTAATTGTGCTATGGTTTTCAGCTGCAACTGAAATAACAGAGGGGAAAAGAATTATGAATGCAAGGATTTTTTGTCATGTAGCTGTAATAACAATTACCGTTGTCATTACAGAATTGTAAACAATCTACATCTTCGGCTACGCGGTGCATCTGGCCTCTGCTTCTAGAAGTGAGCGCACTTCGAATTCGCAACGATAAATAGGTCATTTCTGATACATTTATTTTCAATCGGATGTACAGTTCCCCGTTGTATATGCTTGACCAAAAAGTCGTCTGAGCTGATTATGTTGCAAGGTGTCCCAACCACGACTGGTATAAGAATTCAGAGTGGAATAGTATCTTGAAAACCACAGATGTGGGCGTTTCCTTACACCGCAATCGCAATTGAATCAGTAGGAGACAAGTATAAGCTCTAAGTGAACCTTTGTTCAGCTGCATGCATAACTGACAACAGCACGGATGGGAATCTTCTGGTGAGTCATCGGTGTCGCGTAGTGAACACGTAGCTTTATCGCTGGAGTGGCCTTAAACTGCCAATGAGGATTCGAAACTGCATCGCGCTAGATGTGGTGACCTTCGCTCACAGATCGACTGAGTATAGCTGGATTGCATGAACCCAATCCAATAACCGCATAATGAACAAAGCACCTAACACCGCTCAACGACTGCACACCAGTCTAAATACAGCCCTATCTCTATAAGATGTATAGGAGTGCGAAGTAGACTGAAAACACCGGCTCCAGTGCCTTAGTAAGCGCTAGGTGATATCAACTAAAGCCGCGAGTGATCGTTAGTGCTGGGGAGATGACCTTGTGGGCAAACTACAGACAGGCCTATTGGCTCAGTATCAACAACGCTAACATCGCCGCGATGGCATAAAGCAAGAAAAATGCAGGAACCGTTGCATGTGAGGGATAGTCTAGCAAAGTGAAGAGGAAGAGTAAGCTTGCCAGGATGCATCAACGTCGAAAACAAGGAACTCGTGGAACGTCGTCTCATTTTCACCGCTGATATCAAAGAATGCAACAATAAACAGCTGTGTCAGAATTATAATGCATGTAGACATTCCGATAAAAGCAAACGCGGAGCAGATCTTCAAGCATTTCAAGGCATCCGCAATCCATTTCCACCAGCCCTCAGTCGGGAAGACGAAAGGAACCAGCGGTAGCCACCCTCGAAGTCAATGATTTCATACTTAGTCACCATAAGCATCAGCAGTATGCCGGCACGAAATACTGACGCTTCGCTGCCGCGCAAGCAACACCAGTCGCAAATAGGCTAAGGATACTGCGAGGGTCGCTCTGGCCCTACGTAGGCTCGAACCTGCGCCGTCAGATTACATGACAAGCTTGTTACCTTTAGTATACGGCCCGGCATGCGGATGTCTGACCATCACCAATTATCGCAGAGGCAGTTGGTGCATATCATCCAAGCGAATTCGACAGGACAAGATCAAGATCACTCTAAGGAGGCACTGTCGCAGGAATAAAAAGAGTAAAGCTGGATACAATCGTAGTTGCGGTGCTCTCCCAGACTGGTTTCACCAAGTAATCCAGCAGGAGCCATAGTTAAGCTCTGTGCACGCACGCACCTTTCCAACGTTAACATCGCTGGCGCATGTGCCAAAGGACAGTGGGCGCCGGTGATATACACATAACTCCACGCTAGGTTTCAACAGGCACGCACTATCCACTTAATTACGGTAAAAGAGAAATCTAACAAAGGATGGCGCCGAGTGTGATTGATAAGGTTGAATTTGGGGAGGTGTACAGCTGAACACTGCAGGTTACAGTGCCGCGTTTTAGCGATCTAACAGGCACAATCATTTCACTTCATGTCAAAAGTATCAAACAACTGAACATTACGAGTAGCATGACTGATCACACCGAAACTATCCGTTGTAACCCAGATGGTTGAATTAGAATAAAACAGTGTTTTCAAATATACACGTACCCGAATGAGTACGTTTGATATGCATTTGCAAACGGTCATTCCGAGTAAATGATGCAGTACACTGTTCACATTTCAAGGGGCGATGTTCTGGAATAGAAAATTGAAAGCAAATAGTTACAAATTTATCGAACTTGGAAATCAGCCATGTGAAAGTGGATGATCTATTGGATTAGGAATATGCAGCTGAGAACATACGGAAGGCTTACTAGTAACCAATGAACTCAACGATTCGGGTTTTGAAACATTCCCTACTTACGCTAAACGAGATAGTTGGGAGACACATGAAGTCTGGCGTCTGCAATGACCTCAATTCTTTTCGTTAAAAAGAGATATTTAACAATCAAGTTCGTCCCTGTTATCTAAGATGTGAAAAGTGATCTTAGGGGATTCATATCTGCAGTCAGTGGGTGAAGTAACTTGTGAAGTTGCGCAAGCGGGTGATTCGACCAATTCCGTTGGACAATCTGGAGCAAACTATTGCCAAAAGCATTCTAACGGAGATCCGATAGGAAGGCTTAAATGAATATTACGAGCGAAACATGGCTTCTGAGGAAGATGAAAAGACCAGGCTCAAAAATAGGATAGACTCGTGACTTCTTCTAGCTTGTCAGGTAGGATAAGCTCTGTGACCGGCTGCAGTAGATTCTTGTCAATGGCTGAATAAAAGCGAACAATGGCACATCACAATAAATCTGAAACTTGGCGTAGGTTGCTGAAAGGCAGAAAAGACAATCAAGCCAAATCGGTGTCACGTATCGTACTACCTGACAAATGCATGACCAGAGAACCCTACTATAATAGGGAAAGTCATGAATGAACACTTTCCACTTTGTTCACTACCTTAAACTGCACACATAAGCTTAGTGATCCTGCTGATGTTGGTAAACTGAACTCAGTGCAATTCAATCGCCGCGTTATTCAGATGCACTACGATATTCGTCTCATGCTGTACCTGATAGTTTACTGACCTCCGTAATATTGATGGGCGTCAAGCACATAAAGATTATAATTGCAACTACATTTATTATATCTATAAACTTGAGGATATTCCAGAATCAATGGAAACTATTTTGTAAAGCTGAGACATAAGAAAGGTGCGAAGCTAGATATTGGAAACTGCCACATAATTAGTCACACACCGATTACTTTGTGATTAATGGAAATAATTGTGAGAAAATGGTTAGGTACTTGCTGTCATAGAATTTGATAAACCCGACTCAGCACGGGTTTCTGTAAAAACGCTATTGCCGAACTTGTCTGTTTGTAATACTATAGTCTAAAAACCTCTAATGACAATGGCAAGGCGGCCATCATTATATTCATTGATGTGCAGGCCTTTGGCATAATGTGAACGACAGACTTTTGAAGGTTAACAGATCACGGGATCACTGATCCATTGTACGTGTGGTTCAAATCCTACCTCACGGATCGCATGCAACGAGTATGAATAGGGAATAGTAAATCTTCACCACTTGAGATAAAATTGATGTGGGGTAGTGTATTGGGTCCCTTGCTCTTCATAATGTTTAGCGATGGTGTAACTGAAACACTAAAATTTGGTACAACATATGTCTTTGCGAATGACATAAAAATAGTGTACACCTTGGTTATCTGAAGTCTGAGAAATACACTACAAGGCATTCGCCCATGAATTGTGGATCATCAAGTGGCAAAATCCTTCTTAGCGGATAGCTTGCGTTACATCCCAGTTAGCTTGGAAGTTGTGTAGGTCTAGCACCATGCCCCGTGGCTCAGTGGCATAAGTTGCTAGCAGTCATGCGTGCGGTTCCCTGCAGGAGTCCGAAAGAATGCGCACCAAAGACGAGTCCCAGTTAAATTTCATCTAAAATCCTCCTACTTATCAGAAAAATTGGATGTTGACATGCAAGTGTGAACTTACTACAAATGTTCTTTACCTTGGTGATAAACCTATCCCCTACACGTGATCTAGGCGTCCGTGAACAAATTGAACGCACAATGGCCAGACTACGAAGCAAGGCGAAACTCCGCTTAAAATCATTCTCGATACGTGAACCTAAGCATTTGCACTGCCAGAGTACTGTTTGACTAATTTTTGTACAAGCGACAAGAAACGACACCGTCTGTGCCTGAGAACAAGAAGAGTTTATTCACTAAGACTATCTTCAACCTCTTGTCTAAAATAAGCTACTCGGAGCGCTGCAACATTATACAACTGAAGGAATAGTGAGTAAAACGCATAGCACTAGGCTTAACATTTCCATTTGACTTTTTCCCTAGGCGTGCATTCGCATCAAATATTGCTATTCATTACATCAAGAAGGCAGATTACGCAATTGGGAATGCCAACCACATGCTCCCGGTGTTAACGAGAACTAATGTTTGTAGAAATGTTTACCTAAACACATATACTACAAGCTACCATAGCCTAAGCATTAAAATAGTAACCTGCGAATCGCAATTCGTGCATAAGGTAGCAGTTTCAAATTGACTGATAATGAAACAAGAAAGCATAATGTTGCAACTAAAAGGATGCTATTTGAGTGGAGCGCCGAGACACAGGTGTGTCGCTTGGAAATAAGCACAAATTGTGCTGTATATAGTGTCATTACTTGTCCAAGTGCTCCTGAAGAGATGCAATGAAAGATGAAGTTGCCAGAACCGCCTTACCTGACCCCTTTTGCTCGGGAAAGTATACTTCACGGACACAAAAGATGTCGGTTGCAGAGGAACTGCAAACAGGGACCGAACTAACCAGTTTTGTCTCCACATTTTGCCTACTCAATCAGACATGCCATACAGTCATACCAAAAGGTATGAGCTGAGAAGGAAACGCTGACTGAATACATCCATTTTCATTCCCTCTTACGATTAGCTCATCTCGGTCACACCTCACCTGTGGCTCTCATGGAAACAAGCTAATCAAAAGCTATCCGATTCATCCATATTTCGACAATATTTCATTTTTCCTCTTACTCGCATACGTCTAGCGTACAGTCAAACCACAAAGTCTAAACCAACTAACCGATTCCAACCACGTTCGCCTCATATAGAACAAATAAATTTCCTCTGCTGTCTGTCTCGGCCTGCATGTACATCTGCTGAACTGAAAATAAATGAATATATCTCCCTTTCACTACTCCTTTTTAGAACGTTAAAGTATATTGGAATTATTTGGCCGAAACTAGACACCACACATGGAATACCCTCTCAGAAGCTGTTAGTTCAGCCCCCACATTAGCCGTGTTTAAAGCACGTGTCGTCTTTGTAGGGGAATTGCAAATAGAGACCGAACTGCTTTTAGTTCGTCGCAATAAGCCGACAATTCAGATGAGTAAATTACCAATCCGGGAAAGCACCGGACTGGTAGTTGAGTTATCTGAATTGTGGACTGCTTGCGACGAAGTCAAAATACTCGCCAAAATTATTCTACTCATGGGTAAGAGATCGAACTAACCACTTTGTCTCCATCCTTCACATTCTCTTTACTCAGTCACGCCTACCTTAGAGCAATATCAAGTGTGAGCTGAGATAAAAGCGCTGACTACACGGATCTATGTTCATTCCTTTTTGCCATTCGTTCTTCTTTACTTGGCTAAACTTCCTTTGTTGCCTTTATATCAGACGTCAAGGAGAAGTTAACCGACTTCACTCACTACATCTTCATCCCTAGTGTGCGTATTCTTTCACTATTTTTCATGTCGAGCGTGTGCGCCTAGCGCACAGTCAAAGAAAAACGACTGAGCCAGTTGAGCAATACCAGCCATCTTCATTTCACATAGAATATATCGTAACGTTTTGGCCTAAACTAGATGCTATGTCCCACAGCTGTGATTCCAGTTTCAAGGTTTCGTTTATTATTCTTCATCCTTCACCAAAAAAATGAAAACCTGACTCAGTCCATACAAGCAGTTCTCTGTCAGGACGCCATGAACCGTTCTGCGTCCATTGGGAAGTTTGATGTGGACATTCACAAATATTACAATCTTTATGTTTGCCAAACATTTGGATAAGGCTGCGGAAACCATACGAAACAACTGTAAAAAAAATCGATCATACCGAAAATCGCAGGTCTCGTGAACCGGAAAACGAACGTTGTTATTATTACCACAACGTCACTGTGAGCGCACAGACACCAGCCAATTGGTGAAGCCAAGTGTTCTGAATGCGTATCAAGGTACGCTGGTATCCGAACTGAGTAAGCGCCCAGTGAACATAGCTAAAGACCCTTGGCCGCATGTTCGCCAGACGCTACTATCATAAGGTATGTCTTCATGTGGCAAATCAAATTACCAACCTGCGCAGTGGGTCACTACACAGCATCTTGAACTTCTGGATGCTCTTCGATGTGTTCAGGATGGAGGCGAACAAAATGAGACTAACAAAAATTTTAGGGCGAAACTGCGTGCTAGCCTGAAGGGAGACCGGAAAGCCTGATGGTCTCATCGTGCATCGGAAATGAAAACAGCCACTGTTGTCGGTAACCATCGTCTTGTACTGTCTGACAAGTGAAACGGGTAGCAGACCTGGTGATAACGAAACCATACGGGAGGGGAGTGGACAGCCGATCCACAGCTCGTCAAAACGCTTGGAGTGTTGGGCTGAACGCTGCTAGGCAGTGCAGTAACATCATCTTTTATTACACATATTTTTGCTACATAAGGACTGGTAAGACATTACTCTTAGTCACCTGACAGTTTCACCAACCGTATTGACCACCATTCATTCGGCATCCGCAGTGATGGACAGAACCTTAGCGGCTAAACGCAGGAGTACGTTGGATTGCGCCAAACACGTTTGTACAGGAGCGCGAAGTCGTTACGTTGATAGTGCAACGAGTAATGTAGCTGGCCCTAATCAGACGACAAGGAATAGGATGGTTGACAGCCCAGCTACAAAGAAGAGCACATCCAAGTAGATAAATCGGGAACTGTCGTGTCGTGGTTTACGAGAAACCATTTTGGATTCTCAGATTTCGGCTGTAGTGGACAGTGACCCAAAAACGGTTCAAAAAAGGAGGTATCCCCTCGGGCGTAAAACCCGAGGGGAAATGTAAGACAAATGTAGCGGAGAGGAATAAACAACTGAGGGGGGCTGAGAGTATGGTA